TATTTTATTAATTTTTTCTTGTTTTGTAATTATTTTTCTTGCACTTCACATAACACATTTCAAATATTTCGCGTAGCATTCCACACATATTCCGTTGACATTTATGTAATTTGTCGTTGCATGCATAATAATCAGGCGGGTTTCCTTTTTACAAGTATTTTTTATATTTCTTTCACTTTTTTTCTAAATTTTTGGCTAAATTCACTTTTTTAATAAGGCAAAATTTTCTACAAGAAAATGTCAGACTTCAAAAAGCAGTCAGAAAAAGAAGAGAGAAATGGAAATGCGACTCTAATGGGCGTTGGAAAATGCAGTATTTCCATCTTTAGAAAAATGCTGACCAATGAGTGCATATCAATTACAAGTAAATATACTGTGAGCGCCCAGCACGCGCTAAACTAATGATCGAAAGCAACAACAATAACAACAATATGCGTATTTTCGCTTTATCGAACAACTAAAGCTCGAAGGCGATGTAATGTGAAGTTGAAAAAAAGAACTAAGAAATATTTAATATTAAAAAAACAAAAAACAAAATGTTGCACAGATAGATTTTAAAAAATTTTAATTATTAAAAATTTATTAAATTAATTTAATAAGCTCACTTTTTCTAAGTATACTATATAACTTTTGCTTGTATTGCTTTCAATAATTTATTTATTTGCCGTTACACGATAAAACACAACGAAACATTTGAAATCGCAATTGAACTATCACACCGCTTCGACGGAACCGTTTGAACGCCGCGCAATATCYATATATTCTGTGTATATGGGCGAGTAGGCTAGGCGCGGCTTAAGTTTGATAASTAGTGAGYTAGTGCGCTGTATGGCTATAGAGCGGCGCTTAGTGGCGCTTCGTGCACAGCGCTGACAGTTGGARCAAAGATCGYGCSAGTTAGCGAACGACAGCACGAACACGCAACCGAGCGTTTCAGCGCTATGAAACTAATGTAGAATTYCGACGAACGCCAGCTATGACCGAATACGCGATGCGCTATTTKCGTTAAAGTGGTGTGCGTAATCGTCTAACTGCGTAGACTTTGTGCGCAGTATGAAACATTTTAAGCTTAGCCGTTGTAGCTTTGTCTTAGTGTCATAGAAATGACGACCAGAAATCGTTTGGTGCGCGCGCAGCTTAGCGCTGCGTGTGAGTATGTGTGCGCGCGTTTGTATTGCCGTTTGATAGCYAGCGCGCTCGAACGMAAAATCTAACGCGCGCATATGTATGAGTTTGYCAAAAACCGCAAAATAACTGAAATTGATATGCGCTTTGAGGCGCCGCACCTTACGAGACACCGCGCTGTGCATATATCTGAAGCGGGGTAAGGCAAGCGCGCGTTCTTGAGACCTTTTTGCCAAACCGCAGACTATAACAGTTTTAGAGTGTATAGCACAGCGCTCAAGCGTCAATAAGAAGTAGAAGCCATTCTTATAACATAAACACGCACACACATGTACACTTACGCTTAACCTAAATTTTCTGCAATTAAACGATAAACGCACGCGACACGCTTGTGTAAGTCAACGCGCTTAAACTTATTGCATTTAAAAAAAATWAAATTTGTTACTAATTTGTACGTTTAATATKCGGTGACACACACATCTCACTTCATGCGCAGYTCTTTATGCTTGAACTTGTTAATTTTTATTTTTGCTCTTGCTTTCCTCGTATTTTTATCGCTCTTTTCGGGCGCGCGCGCTCTTCCCTCGTCTGTTGCGGCTCGCAGCGCTAGCAGACGACAACTAATTAAAATCTTGCGCTTATTCGTCTGCAAGCGAATGCTAATCAATACTTGACAACCAGCGGCTTTCGTCTTTTTGTTGTTATAAGCAAAGTGGGAGCGCGTCTTTGAGATCGCGAGCTAAATAATAACTTAAACGCTTATGCGCGCTTTTGAGTTCAGCAGAATTAAAGAAATAAATCAATAAGACGCTCTACAAAACAGCGCTGCAATATCAAGCCTTTCACATCACTTGTCATCTACATTCATATCAATTTCGTCATAAAGCGTATTTTAGGCATTTTTTTAATTTATTTTTCACAGAGTTGTACTGGGCAGAAAGATCACTTCGACGAGCGGCCATGTATTATAGAAAATAAAAATCGGCTTTTTKTGAGTAAAACCTTTTAACTTCTATTCTGTCTCCTCTTTGTCTACGAGTTCACAAGCGCGATCGTAGTGATCGCTTGAAAATCATAGAGAATCAAAAAGATTTCGGTAATAGTTCTACCAGCTATTTACCTATGTCTTTATGGTTACTGTCAGTACAAAAGTTTTGTGGCATTCTTCGAAAATTTATTGAAGACGTTTATATGCCAAAACACCTAATCAAAAGATCAAAATAACAATCCATCCTTAAGCTCAAATATTGTATGTGAGATAATATCAAAGTTTGGTAGTCTTGAAGTAGAATTGTTGTACTCGTCAAACCGAAATTGAAACTCTCTATGATTAGTCAAACCTTAGCGAGTATAAGAAACGACTGGGATAAATTCAGTGATCTTAACAGAGTGGCACATCTCACAAACGACTTATATAATTTCAATTATTACTAATACCAAGTARCTACCACTCTAATGAGGCATCCACATATCAACTATATTGTATTGAGCTTAAGTAATAATATTCGTTGTTGCTTGTTAACAAGAGAGCAGCGCTCAAACTTAGTGTATAGAGAAGTGACGAATCGAACACGGTTATGCTTGTTTTTAGTTTTCGTAATTTATATATATTTTATTTGCAAATTATTGTTGTTGAAACAGCCTTCTTGGCTTCATTACTTCGTGTTATTCTTCTTATCACTACATACATACACTATACATTTTTATTTTTATTTTTTTTCATTTTTATTATTTTTTAATTTTGCTACACATCTTAGTTGCCGAGTGCGCTCTCTTATTTACAACTTAAGCTAGATTCGCATACGCTCACAACTCTTACACTTTTGCACTTGGTTTGTTTATATTCTTGAAGGCGGCATTGACAGCGCTGTCAAAGCGTCTCATATTTATTTATCAACAACTGTAACTAAGCAAAGTGATTGCTGTTCTCTAAAAAAAAAGTTAAGTATTACAAATGCTTTCATACCGGCACACACACAACAGCACATAATAATGTGTATACTTGAAGATTTTCGTATATGCTTGAATTTAGTATAAACGCAGTTTTGCCAGACTATATACAAGCACACGAAGGGCGAGCTTTTTTCCAAAACAACTTCAAAAAGATTTTTTATATATTTTCGAGTAATATCAGACCTTTATAGAAGCAAGAGTACACATACTTCTGAGTCAGTTTCTGATAAAATCCAGGGATCTACAGGATGCTGAAAATACCATAAATGTGTGCCGATAAATTATATCCCATAAGTGTGAGCAAGGGTTGAATTTGATAAATATGGTCTTGCTTGATGTCCACGACTGACGGTATCTATGAAAGATTCCCCCTTCGAAACAGAAAAACATTGAATCAGGTTGATAATACTTCATCTTAGCTCATGTTCGCCTATTGGTGCTTTCTGATCCTTCGAACTGTAACCTTACAGTCAATATTTCGGAAACCCACTTAAAAATCAACAAGATCATTTGAGCCTATATGGAGAGCTGCCCTAATGTTTGACATTTAGCGAGTCTATCTTGCCGAGGCATATCATTAAGCTTATACAAGGCTTTAAATCGATTTTAGGAGCTGAGTTTTTAATTTTAAGTAAGAGACATAATAATTTCTGCAGTCTAGAAATCGGGTAATAAAAATGGTATATCTGGTTTTGGTTTTCGTCACACATTTCTCCGATAGWCCTTGATCTTGTTGAAGAACCGGGTAATTATCTGCTTTTGAAGCGAGTACATATATTGTGTTATTCACTAAGTAATTTCATTTGATTTCGTTCCATCAAATTCGATCTTAAGGGCGTACCAACACTGGGAAGGTCTCTTGATGTCGTTGTGAATAAAATRAAATGGTTGATCCATGCAAATCGTCGAATACCAATTCGATAGATTATTGAAATATTCAATTTGTCTAACCCGACTGTTCCMAAGTACATGAAACGAGGATTAGTTTCGTAGCTTGACATATGAGTTTCTCATGTTTTTCCAGAATGAAATTATCCTTCGTCGCATTAGTGACTAGGATTTGCTTACCAAACGTCAAACAAGTAGTCTCTTTTTGAACGCGAGCGACAACGCAAAGTGCATTGTTTACAAAAATGTAAAATGGAAGAGATCATGATCTAAAAAGGTGAACCAGCCTAACCACTTCGAAGGCCGATAGGTTATCTTTATGACATTTCAAAATGATCGTTGAAGAGACCAGAATTGATCATGTGCTACTATATCTTCTATATTTTCCAGACTTGGCACCATCGGAYTATTACTTGTTCCGATCACTACAAAATTTTTTATTTAGTACAATCTTCACCTCAAATCAAGAYATCGAAAACCACTTGGACCTTGGTTTTGGCTTGCAAGGATCAAAMATTTTATGAGCGTGGATAATAGAGATTATATAATTTCTTTAAAACGTTTAACACAATAAAAAAATAAACCTTTAAAATCGAAATTCCTTAGTGAATGACCCAATAAATGAGGAACACGATAGGAAAGATGATATGTGTACTATCTCTGATTGAAACATACTGACTTTAGTCGAGAAAAGACTCTGGCTACGCTTCTTCTTCTTTATTGGCGTAGATACCGCTTACACGGTTTACAACAGCGTGCCAGTCGAGTTGAAGTGAGTAGGTGAACCATCCCTCCGCAGTGTTGTGCGCAAGGTTTGGTACACGTCGACGTAGAAAAAAGCCCAATAAAACAGGAAACAACTTTGGCTAAGCATCTCGAAAATATCTGCATTTGTATGTCAGTGAGCTCGGTACAAGGGATGACTACTTGAGTATAATTTTTATTGAAGTTGGTTGTTAGGCTTTTCCGAAGAAAGCAAAGTAGTTCTCAGTWTTTGAGATAACGACCTGAAATTTCGCACACATACTTTTCTCCAACAAATCGATCATTTAKCAGAGCTCCAACTGATCGATCCAACGCAAGTCTTTTGATATAAAAAACCTGTTTATTTTATAAGTWATATTCAGGGAATTTTACGTGGTCTATCAAAATAGGCAACAGTACAATTTCCGAATACATTGTTCAGATCAGACCGTTATYGAATTTAGTAATCATACACACCGATCGATCGAAATTTAGGAAACGATCTTTTTGTACTCTTGTATGCTATAAACAATGCACATATGAAGGGTATTGAAGCTTTTATGGAGCCAAAGTAACGTTTAAGATCTTGCATTATTTATTTTGCATTTCATTCGCTTACTGCTTTCGTCATAATTCGTAAATATTTTTAATTCATCGTTTTTTTTTTTTTTTTTTTTTTTTTTTTTTTTTTTTTTTTTTTTTTTTTTTTTTTTTTTTTTTTTTTTTTTTTTTTTTTTTTTTTTTTTTGTTATTGAATTTTTGCCTTTTCAACACGACGCTTTAGCGTGCGAGTGACGACATTCCCCAGCCGCTTGTTGCCACAGCGCTTTTGCTCGCGCTTCTAATGCCGTTTCTACTGCTGTTGTTAGTGTTGCAACAAGTTATGCTCGTAATTAAAATATTGCACTTGTTTTTCCGATCCTCAATCATCGACGTCAGCAAAGCAACAGCAAAAAAACAAGTGTGTGTGTGTGTATTGCGGCCGGTGCTTGGCTTGTGGCAAAGAGCAGGGAGCACCCAGTCGTGTGGCGACATTGTCAGCGGCGGCGGTGTGTTGCAACAAACTTGGAAAAATGCTGACAGCAATAGCCAGCCGTTGCAACAACAGCAAAACAAAAAACACAGCAGCAACAACAGCATGGCAACGTCAACAATAGCAACAACACGGCAATGCCACTTGAATGCTGAGGTGCAACAGCATTTGGTTGTAGTAAAAATCGAAAACTCGTTCATCGGAATTTTCTAATAAACGACGGACACGACGAGCGGCGATCGAGAGTATTGAGCAAAGATATGCTGATCGCCAGCAATAAGTTGTTGTTGCTGCTTTTTTTAAGCTGAATTTTGCGCAGCGGCAGTTAGAGGTGAACGTGCGGCAGCTGCAGCAGTGTGCAGTGCGTGGAACATTCCAAGGCACGCAATAATTTTAATAAGCACCTGGTTGCTGCCGTTTAGTTGTTGTTGCTATTTGTGTTGTGCTGCGCTGTTGCTAAGTTGTTCATGCAAAACCGGCAATCACATAATTCTGTCTTTGAGATTTTGCATTTTTTGTTGTT